AAGAGAAGTGCGTCGCTTTATGGGATTCTCAAGTATTACGATATCTCTGTGCAATGAGATCAAACTCAGTATATAGAGGACGGCATGTATATAATAGTATAAGACTCGCTGCCCCCCTTTATCGTTTCTGTGAATCTCAAACGCTTAAATTTCCCGAGTTTAGATAGAGAAGCTAACTGTAGAAAGCTCATGGAATGTAATAGACATTTAAATACTTCTTATCGTTAAATTATTCCCTATTTTGAACTTTCATATAATAATAAATAATTTTACTTTATCTCCATTCATGATTAGAAGAGATTACTTTTTTTTATTTAAAAAAATTTAATTGATTTTTTTATGAAAAATTTTTATTTTAATTTTATTTAAGGAGCTTACTCATAAAAAAAATTAATAATGTAATTGTGTTAGCTCTTAAATTAATTAATACACAGTAAATTCAAGTTTGTTATTATCGATATAATAGTCTCTGTAGGATTACAATTATTGATGCACATTACACGAGTGAGTATTAAAATTATTGATAGTAATTAATAGTACACAGATAATAGTGGTCATCACCGATTGTTATCAATCGCAGCGAATTATTTCGGAATTACCACACCATGTAATGACTTTCAAAACTTCTGGATATGACAATAACATTTAACTCCGCGTTTATGTTCTGAATTTCATCAACAGTTCAATAAAACTAAATAGAATCTAAAATTTTATTCATATTAAAATACTTGCAAATTAAAAACAATTGAGGGATTAAAAAAAATTAAGTAACCTGATAAAAATTGATTTAATTTAGAAAAAAAAACATTTTTAATCAAGAAAAAAATTATTTTTAATATAAATTTCATGCTTGTATAATTTATAATTTTATTATAAACTAGCAACTATAAATGAGTAATATTTTGCTTTATTAAATAATGACTTTTGTTAAATTGCACTGTCCTTTCTTAAATATTGACATTTTTAAAGATATAAGCTCATCCCGATATTATACTCATCAAGATCTTTCATTTGAATACCCACAAGCATTTTTGATATATTTTTCATATATACATATATATAATATATATAAATATACAAAATATATGAAAAATTGATGTGGGTATTCAAATGAAAGGTCTCAATGAGTGTAATGTCAGGGTGGGCTTATATCTTCAAAAATATCATTAGTTGACAATATAGCAATGTCAGTTCTTTATTACTGACATTTTTAAAGAAATAATCTCATCCCGATGTTACACTCATCAAGAGCTTTCATTTGAGTACCCACATGCATTTTGATATATTTTTCATATATATATGTATATAAATATATAAATATATGAAAAATTGATGTGGGTACTCAAATGAAAGGTCTTGATGAGTGTAACATCGGGATGAGCTTATATCTTTAAAAATGTCAATAGTTCAGAAGATACAAGGTCATTTCTTAATTATGTATCTAGAGATAGAGCATTTTCAAATGCAGCCCACATTTATATCATCATAAATTGACTATTGGTGCGAATGATACGTTAAAAAAAAATAAGTTAAAAATAAATAGACGTAATTAAATTTTTTACAAAAAAAAAGTTCTTTTATTTTTTCCGTATTTTGCATTCTTTAGCCAGAGTTTCAGATTCAAAGTTATCATAATTAAAAAATGTCTTAAAATTTTATTTGATTAAAAATCCAAAATCTTCAAAAATGTATCTCAAAATTACGAGTTGATAATTAAAGATACGAAAAAAGTAATGAGAGACTTTTTTTTGTAAAAAATTTAATTTTTTATAAAAAAGGACATTTGTACTTCTCTCGAATCTTCAACCCACTAGACGAAATATTAATTTAAAAAATTGTTGGTATGGTGTTACAATTTCCTTAAACTTTGTTAGCAGTTGAATTGCACTTAAAGATTGTTGTATTGCAGAAGTTTAGTATAACTTAAAGTATTCTAAGGCTCCCCAGTTCTCTGGATAGTCAGCTCGGAAATCTAAAAATAAATATGTTCGCATAAAATATTTTCCAAGCTAACCGGATAAATATCAAATACTTAAGACTCTACAAGATACAAGAGTCAAAAATATTTGCGTGTTGTTTTATGGACGAAAAACTTGTCAAGCTTACGGGTTACGGTAACAACAATAATAACAGTAAAAATATAGGTACTTGTACATGAGGCGGTGTGCCAAGAGCATAAAGTACAGCATCAGCAACGTCTTCTGGTTCCAGAGCTGGAATTTCATCAAAGAGATTTTTTAAATTCGTCTTACTTGCTATATTTGTTTTAACCAGACCGGGACTTATGCTCTGTAAATAATAAATTTACTGCACTGAATTTTATCCATTTATTTAAGTACAAATAAATACTTTCCAAAATTATTTTACATACCGTAATTTTAATGGCAATTTTTGCTTGGGATAATTCGCGACGAACAGAGTGTGTGATGGCTACGCTGGCGTGCTTGCAAGCTGGGTATAAATTGTAGCTGTTCGACCCGACGCTGTCTGATAAACCTTTCATGGGGATTTCATGACCAACGACACTGTAAAGTAAATAAAACATAAGTAAGTATAATAGTCGAAGGTGTTTAATTGTCCCGGGTCAAAAAATTTAGTCTGTTTTATGATTAATAAAATTTTTTAATATTTTTCATTCAATTTAATTTTATTATGTGTATCTATTTTATATGAGAATTTAATCTGTTTTTGCCCGTATTATTCACAATTCAGACCAATTTCAGATCATTTTTAATGTTATAATAAAATTGTTTTCTATTGTTTCAAGACCAAAATCAGACTTTTTTCGTCACAATCATTTAGCTGGTTTTGACCGCATCAAGGTCAAAAACAGACCAAAACGTTCTATAATTTTTAGTCGGTTTTTCATCGCCTGTAGATCATATAAATAATAATATATTTATTTATTATTATTTTATTCATGTTCTCGAAGATCCTCTACAGGGCACGGCTTTTCATTTTCTGAAACTGAACACGATTGTGTAGTCTGCGCATACCGTTTACTATGGGAACTTGTAAATTTTGTACCAGTTTTCTTATAGTTCAGTGTTACTATGCGCCCATAGTAAAATTCATTGGAAATTTCTCAGCGTGTAGTGACCATTCACTATTTCGTAGTGCAATGTATACCAAACGATACTCTTCGCACTACCAAATAGTGGATACCGCTCATTGGATGATGCTTGAAAGTATAAAATTTAACATTAATCTTGTCAACATTTT